TGCAGTGTCTGCTCAGGGCATCTCAACACACTGGTGTCCTATGGACTGTCTTTAGTGAGATGGTACATGAGTGTCAGATCTAGAAGCCACTTCAGGAATCTCCTATCTCAAGTCCCACTTTTATAGATGGTGGATGAAGAGGCAGGGCAGTGACATGACTGGCTAAAATTCACTTAGAACTCAAACTATGTCTCAGTGAAGTTCTCTTCTTGCTTTTCTAGCCACCTTTCTTTTTTTATTTCTGGCACCTTGGCTACTAAGTGACCAAGGGAGGAGAATGGTGTGGAAATATCTAACACCGGAAGAGAAAGAGTGTGTGTGTGTGTGTGTGTGTGTGTGTGTGTGTGTGAGAGAGAGAGAGAGAGAGACAGAGACAGAGACAGAGAAACAGAGAGAGACAGAGAGAGAGAGAGAGATGGGGAAGGTGATGGGCACTGGGAATGGAGAAAAAAGTGATTGCTTCTCCAGCTTTGCATGTTCTGGCATAGAACGGCAAATCCATGGAGGTATCACCTTATTGCAAAGGAGAAAACACATTTGGAAGGAGAGATTGTCTTGCCAGACTAATTCTCACCTGGTCAAAGTCTTGCATATAAGGACAAAAATGGAGAATATCGAGGGGCTCTGGCTCCAGAAGTGACAGAGAATTTCTGGAAAGAGAAGAATATAGTTTGGCCACAATGTGGCTTCTAGTGAGTCAACTTCATCTCAATCTTTAGGACATGGCTTGGCTGCTTAATACACTGGGGTAACAAACTTTTCTTTGCAGTCCTACTACTTTGGAGAGATCAGCATTGGGACACCACCACAAAATTTCCTGGTCCTCTTTGACACGGGTTCATCCAACCTGTGGGTGCCCTCCACCTACTGCAAGAGCCAGGCCTGTTGTGAGTATACCACCATCACCGCCCACCCACGGATAGGAGCAGAGGGCGATGCAGAGTCGGGATTAAGCACAAGCCCATCATCCAAGTCTAGAGTTCTTGGTGCATATCCATGATCTCAGCCTCCTTAAATTCAGAACATCTGGAAATCTTGCTCTTGGTCTGTATTTCACAAGTGCTGCATCTCTAGAAAGCGAAAGAAGTAGACCAGGGCTTCCATTCCTTTCTCTATCGATCCCTTTCCTCAGCTCTCTCCTGTGGGCCCCAATTCCTGGCACTTCTGAGTTGACCCATGCTTCAGGAAATGGTAGGTTGGAAGGAATTGGGGCAACATCTTTTTCCCAAGGGGACAGACTTTTCTGGGGCTATTGATTGCCTTCAGCCCAGAGTCTGAGGCTGAAGCCCAATCCCAGGCTTGGTCCGATGGTCCCAGGCCATCAAGGATAAGTGTCCTCCGTGTATTTTGGAAAATGTGTTAACACTAACATTGCATTGTCTCTTTGCACAGCCAATCACAACACGTTCAACCCCAGCATGTCTTCCACCTACCAAAACAATGGGCAAACCTATACACTATACTATGGAAGTGGCAGCCTGACTGTGCTCCTGGGATATGACACCGTCACTGTAAGTGCTGTTCTCATCTTTCTGTGGGTCTGCCATTTGGCTCCCCTTTTCTAGACTCTTAAGCTGTCAGAGATATCAAAGGTTGTTAATTAGGTACACATTTCTAAAAGCTGACTCTTGGAAAGAGTGCCACAGGCCATCTAATTAAACCTTTGTCCCAAGACAGGAATTGCCCCACAGCAGTCCTGACCGCTGCAGGCTCTTTACGTTGTGCCTCCCCCGTGACTTTGCTCCTTGGTCTTATCTGCCCTCCTCAACCACCTGGAGCACATCTGCTTCCTCCTCCACAGGACTTCACTCTGGGTATTTGAAGACCTTCCTTTCACTATTTTCTTTTCTTTACATCCAGCACACGCAGTTCCTGTGTCATTTGTGCACACGGATTGTTCGATATAAAACCAAGCACTGTCCTTTCACTGTCCATGGAAGTGGAAACTCTAACTCCAAAAAACAATGGCCTCTACTTCTCCAACACCCACACTCTTCTTTCCAAGACATGCATGTTTGGCTGATGCTGTCGTCCCTTCTTTTCCATGCTAGGACTGAGCCAACTCAATGAAAGAAGCCAATTTCTTCTCCCTAAAAAAGGGTCTAGGTTCCATTCCCCGGACACCTAAGTCTGGGAAGGATTTGTCTACCCTGAATTGTTAATCTTTTCTTTTCACTTGTCTCAGGTTCAGAACATCGTCATCCATAACCAGGAGTTTGGTCTGAGTGAGATTGAACCTAGCAACCCCTTCTACTATGCAAACTTTGATGGTATCCTGGGAATGGCCTACCCCAACCTGGCGGTGGGGAATAGCCCAACAGTCATGGAGAGCATGATGCAGCAGGGCCAGCTCACCAGCCCCATCTTCAGCTTCTACTTCTCTCGGTGAGCATCTTTGCCCTGTAGGGCTCAGCAAATGAGGCACTGTGGGGGTTTTTATTTTACTTTATTAATTTTTTAAACATTTATTTATTGTTGAGAGACAGAGTGCAAGCAGGGGAGAGGCAGAGAGAGAGAGGGAGACACAGAATCCAAAGCAGGCTCCGGGCTCTGAGCTGTTAGCACAGAGCCTAACGTGGGACTCAAACTCGTGAACATGAGATCATGACCTGAGCTGAAGTTGGATGCCCAACCGACTGAGCCACCAGGCACCACAAGATGACTCTTTTCTTAAAAATGGACTATAATCCCTCAACATTTAATAAGTAAATGTCGAGATTGTTGTATTAGATTCACAAAATTCAGAGCTTATAGGACCAGCCACATGATCATTTCTTAATACAATAAGTATAAATATAGAATAAAGAGAACTATAATGAAATGATATTTATAAGAACATATCTGGCTCCAAAAAGAGTTCTTGTAGTCATCACTTCACAGGACATCTCAAAAATCTTGTTTTTAGCTCCATTTTTCCAGAAAGGCAATGCAGGCTCAGACAGGTGGTCACTGTTGAGCATGACTGACACTGACAGGGGTGAAGCCATGACTCAAATGCAAATACCTTGGTCACAAATCCAGTACTTTTCTTACTCTGCTGGCCTTGAACTCTTGTGGCAAACTTTACTTACTGCTTCATCTTCCTAACCACATGATCCCCAGGGGACCTGAGTCCAAATGTTCAATGACTGGCAGGCCCAGGTTAGGGAACAGAAGAGGCCTGAATCCTCTTAACACCGTCTAGTTACCAACCTGAGCACGACAGGAGCATCCCCATC